CCTCGTTGGAATATGATAGTCCGAGCTGAACGACCTCCGAGGTCGGTATCAACAAAACTCTTTTCGAACCAAAATTAGACATAATTTTTACTTAATTTCTGACTCCTATAAGTACTAAACTTGGGCTAGACATTAAAAAACTTCTCTCTAGCCTCTAATTACCATATCATATCATCAAATTCATCAAGAGTAATTTTGCATTATTTCAGGATCCGGGTAATAATTTTTCATTATTCTTCTTATAATTTATATGCAATCATAATAGACTAGATCCATTTTTTGTATTGGATAAAGATGAATCCTATTGTTTATTTATTTTAATTTAAAACTAGTAGTTTAGTATTTCTTGATTAATTTTGCATACCCATTCCGTTACTTAATTATTTGGTTGTAAATTAAATAATTAGTTACTTGTTGCAGTTTTGGAAGACCCACAATAAGTTTAGAATGCAGCAAGATTAACACACGGACAATAGATGTTAGGAATAATGTTTATCACTTGTGCAATCTTGAGATAATCGTGAAATTGAGTGTGTTTTATTTATTTGAATTCAAACTAGAAATAGATTCGGGTCGTGACAAGAATATAGTTAATTTATCTTGTAAAAGAAAGTTAATTATCATCATTTGTCAAGAATGCATGAATAAAACTAGCTATATAATTGAGAATTGAAGTAGATAATAATAGGTGGATTTGTAGTCCAATACACCCATTCCATATACATGCAAATTCTAATTTTATAGCTTTTTTAGATTAATTTAGAATAATTACGACAATCAAATCTCTTTTGTTTAATACTTTGAATCTGAATAGAAATTAGTACACTTTGATTGAATTTTTATTTATTGTGGGATGATACACGTTATTTATCACGTATTACTTGTCAACAATCTCGTACACTTGCGAGATTTTCATGAACACTTGTCGACTTGGCAATGCTACATCTGAGGATGGACAACATAATTCTTACCCATTGTGGGTAGGAGATCAATTCTAGAACATAACTTTGGTCATCGTTGCAGGATCCGTGTTTGATTCTGTTTCTTGTTAATTAAATCAGCTTCTCAAGAAAATTCAACTGAAGCTAATGATTAGGACACCATTTGACTATTTTGAGTCTTGTAAGGTACTAATTTCTTTTATGTTGATTTTTTTTTTTTTATTATTTAGGTGTTTTAGCTTATCTAAAAAGAAAAAAATAATAATAAACAACAAAAATACACATTTTTGCGTTGATCATTTTCATAAAAAAAATTATTTAAAAAATGTCATGGCATGACTATCAAACGTTATGAGTCTAATTGTTGTAAAATGGATTTAAAAAAAAAACTTATTCGACTTTTATCTTTTAATGAACTCCAATCTTTATTTGAATAAAATTGAGGATTTGCTCTCTCAAATGGATTAATCACTTGCCCTTTTCATGCTCACGTTTCTTAATGCACTTCTATAAATATTGCTCTCTGATTAGCTATTAAAACATTTCGATATAGACATCTTAAGGAAAACTTATCTGCTCTTTCAAGTGGATTACTCACTTGCCCTTTTCATGCTCATATTTCTTAATGCACTTATCACAATATTGCTCTCTGATGAGCTATTAAAACATTTAGATATAGGCATCTAAGGAAAACTCATCTGCTCTCACAAGCGGATCAATCACTTGCCCTTTTCATGCTCACATTTCTTATTGCACTTATCACAATATTGCTCTTTGATGAGCTATTAAAACATTTCGATATAGACATCTAAGGAAAACTCATATAGAGAATACCTTCATATTCATTGAAACAATTATGACTCTTATATTGAAAGAAAATGACAATTTCTCTCGACTTGATTACCCTTCTTTTCGATAGTGTGAAAAAAGAAAAATAAGGAGAGTTTTCCTACTTCAATAAATGTGTTAAAAAGTCTTTTTTGAGAAGTGTATTGACATGATCAAACTTTATTTGTCGGAATCTATAAAAAAAAATTGGGGCTTGTTTTGATGATTATAATATAGTTGTTTCCTCCCTCTACACAGGGGATGAGTGTTTTGAATAGTGTATTGTGTTCTCTATCATGATCACACATGTAGTCGATACACCTAATACTGACATAGTTGGAGAATTACCCATAGCATTGCCATTGAAGTCAAACATTCCATGTGTCATTGACATCGTACCAAAATTGAGTAGGAGTCTTTTGCATGACTTTCATGTTGACTTTACTTTGGTGTTACCTCATCTGCATGATACTCACTAGGTTGCCATGTTATTTTTCAAGGCATTGTTCAATTGCATACTTTTCTTGTCGATATTCGATTCTTGCCTACTAATTATTGGCATATTTATTTAGTTCCTCCTTTGTTGTCCATACTCCTAAAATTTCATGCCATAAAGTTTGAAATTTTTGAACTTACTTTTGATGTACAATATAAG